CAAAATAATAATATTGGATTTTTCATGGCTCATTTTCATTTTGTTATTTGGATTAAAGGGGTTAAAGATCGAGGGTTCGGGGCTGTAAGGGGAGGCGAAGAGCCGGTATATTCAAAGCTCCCAAACTCGGTAATTCCACGCACCTATCAGCCACATTTCATACATCATAGGTTACCCCGGACATATGTATTTAAAACAGGCTGATAGAGAAACATTATCGACACGCGTCCCTTTCTATCTGCCCCACCACCCGGCGTACCGTTCGAGCTGACAATAGTCTGCTCGTACTGCAGCGGTGCCACGGTGGGTGCTGAAGCATCCGACGATAGGGGCAACGGTAACCACCAGTAAGACATAGAAATAATGTCTATGTTTGACTGACTTGATCCGTTTAATTTCTCTGTTGTACATGTTTGTTTCTGAGGGTTTAACTTGGGCTGAATTAATATGAACTGATGATAGCGTTGCGTGAGAAGTGCAGAGTCAAACATTTTTTATAATATACCTAGACATTTTTTCGATTCAAAACTCTCATGGATACTTTTGGATAGTTACGGACCTGATAACATCTACGTAGATTAATTATTTTTATCCATCATGGCCAGTGAGAGAATCACGATTTGTCAAACCGCCTAGCGACAATGAGGCCCACAATCAAGTGTGAGAAATAGTCGTTCTCTTTGACCGTCGGTCGCCAGAAAACGGTGAAAGCGATAATCGAAGCCTTTTACAAAAGTGTGACTGCGTGAATAATTTGGAACGTATATGCCGGTGACGAATGGTCACGTTTAACATAAAGGCACTTGAAAAATTGTCGCTGCTAGTATTTCCGCGTAAAGCTGCGTGCCCCTGAGATGAAGCGACGCTAAAAGAACAGCGGCGACAAGCATGATACATTGCCTTTCTTCCGACAACAGTGGTCTATTCATTCGAAGACCTGTGAAACAACAATGTATCCGAAATGAATGAAAATTATTTACTACTTTAAAGTAAATACCTTAACGAACAAATTGGTCACGGGAAACTCCAGTATTTGGAGAATCATTCGACATTACGGTTTTATGTCAAAATTGGAGGGTATCCGTACCCTCGATCATGTTGTGTTTGGAAAATCGTGATGTAGGTAATTTGATGTCATTGTTGTTGTTTTCATGTACACCGTGAGTTGAATTTATTAATTTTTTTAGCTTCACTTCTTATATTAGTATAATTCAAAGAGGTTTTTAGTCCGCCCTTTACCCCCATTGAAATAAATTATGTTTTTGAAACTTGAAATACCGCCAGATACGGTCTAGTATCAGTTTTTGATGGCTGTTGCAAACTATTGAGAAGTATATCATTGCCATATTATTGTATGTGGTCAGATCCGGTAATTAATTTATCCTTCGAGATGCATCAAAATACCACTCAGATGCATCCCTCCATACAAATTAATCTGTAATTTTAACTCAACGACCGCAAAAACTTATGTGACACGCGCCTAGACTCGAATGCCGAACTTATTTTTAATTAGAACTTGAACGACCTTGAAATGATTTTCAGATGCCCTCCTAGTGACTAGTTGATCTCTGATTCGGACTTAATCAGGAAAATCTTAATGACAAGCAGATGGGCTCGATTGTTCGTCTTTTTTTGAAAATGTTCTTGATATGACTTTGAAGAGACCTCCAATTGCCCTCATAGAGGCAGACTAACCCTGTATTAGGAATTAGCGACTCAAAAAACTTCGTTTTACTGAGAAACGTGTAGATGACTCGGAAACTGTGTCTTTTGACAGCTTTTTGGTATTCTAGACCACCGTACCTCACTACAGTGCGTGACCTATCATTTGAGTATATGTATATAGTATAGTATAACCCTGAAAGTTAGAGCTTTTTTCCAGAAACAACTACGCTTGAAATCGACCAGGTCAACGTGTAGCCCGAGAAACAGGAATTTCAAGGTCGAATTTTTTCATCAAGATCATGCATTTTGCTTTTACTAAATTTTAATATTATCAGCATCACTCACATTCAAGTCGAATCCAACGATATTTCATATGTCAAAATCGCCGCTTGGCTTGTAGCCCGTGAAATAGAATTTTGGAATTTTGGATGCCTAAATACCCAAACGTAAAAAAACATATGCCCCTTATGAAGCAATCAGGTAAAGATCCAACTCATTTACGGAGAAATGGAGAGAGAACCTGAGTAAGTTTTAGCTCAGAGTCCGATTACAATAAGCTTTTTTTTTAATATTCAGGAAAATGTGAGCAACCTATGTCATCAAGAAAACATTTTTCCTAGACACCGAATAATCTATGACTGCAAACCTAATTTCGGACTAACAAAACATTTCTATACATCTAAAGGGCTTAAGTCTTCTAATAAGCTCTTTAATATCAACAAATAACTTTTGTGAAAGTCTTACTGTTCCCATTCGTCCCTAATCCAATAAGAGTTTATTGTGGTAGTCGGAAAACTGTGTTCGTTCCTTTCTACCCAGCTTGTTAATACACGTAGCCCAGTGAGTTTAGAAGAAACTACCATTTTTGACATTATGTATACGCTATTACGTAACTTGAAGATAGACGTTATATCATATTTTAATGGCATTCTGCAGGTTTTTTGCAAAAATGTTGATTTAGAACTAGCTGTCATTGACTTCATGTTTACTTGTAGCTGTGCAACTGTAGCAAACATCCATAAAAATGCTATAGTATGTTATATCAATCTTCTTTCTTCTTCTCTTCTCTTCTTCTTCCTTCAAGCATGCAATAGAATATGGAACACTCTATTCCAAAAAAATTGAAAATCTGTCAATTTTGCCAAATGAAATGTTCCATATTACATATGCACACAGACGCTTTCAAGGGAATCATTGAAGTAGGATATCTGTATATTAAATGATGAGACCGGCAAGATAGCTTACCATCTGTCGGCACTGGAGGCTCCGGGTTTGGGAGGGAGAGAGGTGAACATGAGATCCGCCTTCAGTAGAAGTTTGAACTTGAATTGTCAGTAGCGATTTTTTTGTGTAAAATTCTTTCCTATTTTGCTCTAAAAATGAATGACGTCAGTTCGAGCAACGGTGTGCTATGAGGTTTCGCTTCAGACTTGGGCACAATGCCACAGAAAGTCTTTGACATTCTCAGAAGAGAGAGAGAGTCGATTGAAGATGAACCACCAAGCGGAAGGCCTTCATGTTCAAGAACCGATGAAAACATCCGTAGACTTCGGGATCTTCTGCATTCAGCAGATTAACAACAACAAAAAAAAACATTCATTTGGCTCCTCAGCCTCCTTATTTGCCTGACTTGAGTCCTTGCGACCTTTATCTATTCCACAAGTTAAAAAATCACCTCAAGGAGGTCATTTTAGTACAGTCGATAACATTCAAATGGCTGTAACGGACCAGCTGAAGGATATCCCGGTAGCGGAATTCCAGCACTGCTACGAGAAGTGGAAGAACACTCTCAAGCGCTGTGTGGCTTCAGCAGGATCTTTTTTAGGGCGATAATATGAAACTGTAATTCTATTGGAATAGAAAAATTTGAAAAAAATTAGTCTTATCACTTAATCTAAAGATCTTTTAATACTCTGTAGCATTTTTATAGATGGTTGTGAGCTATAAGCGATTTAATGTACAGAGACGGTGAAAATTGGGGGTCGGCCAGTTTGCCATTTGGCACGACAATAAGTTTATATTCTAGGGAAGAATAATAAAATGCTCATAAGGAACTTTAAAACGAGTTGTCATATGAACCTTGAACCTTGTCTTATTCAAAAAAATGTTCCAAGATGACAACACTCTGACATATTAAAACTTAACAATTATCTTCACGCTTAAATATTTCATCCGTGTATCGGTTTGAAACATTTAAAAATGCGTAGGCGGGTAGGACCTATTTGGAAGGCACTGTATGTAGATTTCCCAATGGCCCATATCGTCCAACTTCTTACGCAACTGGCGAGGAAGTACTGTAATCGGAAAAAAATCCAGAATAAGATATTATGTTTTTTTGGATGTTATACTCGTATGGTCGGTTTGTCGGTCTAATCCTTGGCCTATTTATAACCTGGAAGTACCGTATCTTGATAAAACGTTCGCACAAGGTTCTTACTATGCCGAGAATGGAAAGGCTTTGCAATTTCTGGAAATTGGTCAAGTCGTAGTGGAGCTATGGTCAAATACAAAAAATCAAATCTCAATCTTCGTTTCCTGATCATCTTTAGAAAAAACTGCATGGGCTAAAGACTGGATGTTGTGGTTTTATGCAGTGGAGGAGAGTATATGTCATCTTTGATTCTAACAATTAATACGCTTCCAACCCCAGTAATTCCACGTACATGTTTGACATATTTCATACATCGTAGACTCCCAGGATATTTGCTCTTAAAGCTTCACTGATAGGGATATTATTTAAAAACACACGCGAAACTCAACGAATGTACGCACGTCTGCTTCGAATGCTGAGGGATAACTGAGTGGTGGTGCGTGTCTCCGTGTATGCAATACCGTGCTGGATTTGCGACCGGCGAGGCAGGCAGAGCTGCCACGTTCCTGGGTGGTCGGCACTGTCGGTACGGTGATAGGTCAACTCCGTAGGGACCATAGACTAACTGATTGAGCCTGTATGACTGACATGATCTACTTAATTCGCAACTAACTGGTTCAGATCATAATCCTTCATGAAATGATGACAGCATTGCACATGGAGTGTAGAGTTAACCTATTTGATGCATTTTCTTTAATTACGCCTGTACGAGAGATATAGGATATCATCTAAGTGGAAGAATTCTTTCAAATGCACTAGTCTCCAATTTTCCTGAACTAGAAGCCAAGCGAAGGTACGAGTATTAGGGCCGGTTTTATAATCTCTAGTTGACCGGCGGTTGAATTTGAACCGGCGGTCAAACTGAAATTTCTGTATTATAAACCAGAACCGACGGTTCAACCGCCGGTTCAACGCATCTGCGTTCAACCTTAGGTCGATCTAGCGGTTGAAATGTCAACCGGAGGTTAACATCATATCCTAACCTAAATTTATTGTTTACATTTGTCGTAATAGTGTACTTTGTCTGCTTATATTTTACCAACTTGGATTATTATAAGCATTTTCAACAATCAATAAAACGACGATTTAAAATAAAATGTCGTCTTCTTCATCTTCGAATGAAAATATACACGGCAGATTACTTTGGCAAACTAGCAGTGAGGATTCTTCAGATTCTGAAAATGAGAATCGAGTGAAAAGTCCAAGAGCCCCTCGAAATTTTAGAAGACGAGTAGATCACTTACACGTTGGAATGACGAAGAATTTCGAGTAAGATTTCGCCTTAGTAAGGAAACAGTAACAATGCTAGAACAGAGATTTCATAATGTTTTAACACCGAAAACTGAAAGGTAAATATATTTAGTAAATCGCATTATTTATACAAAAATGAAATTATAAATAAGAAAAATATCTCAATATAATGTTTATCCTAGGAACTATGCAGTAACAGCAATGCAGCAAATTCTGCTTGTGCTTCGCTTTTGTGCTACAGGATGTATGTTGCAAACTGTTGGAGATTTCACTGGAATCCATAAGACTACTGCATGTAGAATTGTAAAACGTGTTATTGGTATATTTGCATCTTTAGCACCAGAATACATCCATATGCCAAACACACAAGAAGAAATTGATGAAGTAAAAAGGAAATTTTATACTATTGCAAAGTTTCCTCGCGTAATAGGAGCCATCGATTGCACTCATGTGAAAATAATTTCCCCAGGTACTTAATCTTTGACCTTGTTGTTAGTCATTTTGTTAATTTAGGCAAATTGGAAAGACTTAATATTAAAACATGTAATACTAACTTTTAGGTGGAGCTAATGCTGAGTATTTTAGAAATAGAAAAGGATATTTTTCTATAAATGTACAAGTAGTAGCTGATCCAAATTTATTGATAAGGAATATTGTTGCCCGATGGCCTGGTTCAACGCATGATCAAACAATACTGAACAATAGCTCAATAAAGGCACAGTTTGAAAATAATAGATTTGGGAACTCTGTAATGCTGGGAGATTCAGGATATGCATTGAAAAAATACTTAATAACACCTATTGTTAATCCAACAACTGAAGTGGAACAAGTATTTAATGAATCCCAAATTAGGAGTCGAAATCCAGTTGAAAGATTATTTGGTGTTTTAAAAAGAAGATTTCCTGTTCTCTCCCTTGGTATAAGATTATCTCTGGAGACCGCACAGACTCTTATTGTAGCATGTGCAGTTCTTCATAATATAGCAGTTAATATGAACGAGCCAGAACCTCTCCAAGATGATGATCAGAATAGAGAATGGGAGGAAGAAGAAAATGTGAATGGAAATGATGTTCATAGGTTGGAACATAACTTTAGAGAAGAATTTCTTATATACTTTATGAATCTATTAGAAGAAAATCAATAAACTATTTTGTATGATAATTTATTGAAATATATTTATAAATGTATTTGCAATGGTCTAATGATTTCTTCAAAGTTTAGCTTTAGTAGGTACTTCTATCTTTTTCTAATGAAGTTTAGCAAATTCATACAATGAAACATGTCATGGGATTTATATTTTTCATTATAAATTTATTTTCTATCCTACACCAGAAAAACAACTTCCTAAGTTTTATTAATACTTTATTGATTATGCATCAATTTGTTTCTGCAAGAGTAAAATTTCATATTCTAATTTTTTATTTTGGAGCTGCAAGTTTTTAGCTTTCAACTCGTGTAGTTCCTGCTCATTCTTCATTTTTTGTTCATGGTGTTCTTCGTTTCTTGCAGCTTCTTCGTCTAACAACTTCCTTTTTAGAGATGTTAGGCCCTCTTTCGATGACTGTTCTTCACTCCTTTTTCTTTTTCCTTGAAGGACTCTGTGTTTCCTTGATTGTAAGTGTCTTGGTGTGTAATCAGACCAATCTAAAATAAATACATATATACACTACATTGCACTGAGTATATAGTAAGCACCTACCATGTATCACTTCAACTGCCAGAGGGGATTGCTGTGGTACTGGTACAGACGGTGTTTGTAACTCACATGTCTGTTCTAAAGCTTCTGTGTTGCTTTCAGAATCTGAAATTGTGAAAATTGTACAAATGCATTTGTTTTAAATTTTGTCAAACTATCACCTTCATTTAACACTATAGACATTGATGCAAGATCAACATCCTCTTCATGTACATTTTCTGTATTTTTATTTGACTCGTCCATACAAACAGATGCCGCTTCTGAAAAAAATATATAATTAAAGTATTTTTAAGTTTAGATACATAACTGTGGGTGTTCACTGTAATATTACACAATGTCCATCATAGTACCTTCTTTATTTTCAAATGAAGCATCATCGCTGTCACCCACAGATGGTTGCAATCCATGCACTGATAAGCCAATAATACTTTTAATTTTCTCGTAAAGCATAATCACGGCTTTCTTCAGATTTCTCTCATCAGCACCACCACCAGTCCTCAACAAATTTTGCCTCCTGTGAGCTTCATACTTGCGTACTTCTTTTTTCAAATTATCAAATTTACACCTGAGTTGATCAGCTGTTCGTGATTCGGTTGTGGCAGAGTTGTATAGCTCTGCAATTTTCTCCCAAGCTGCTGCCTGAGAAATGATACTAACATTGAACTTTTTGTATTCAATGAAAATTAAAAACTTCACCTTTTGTTTCCACGTTACGGCGTCTGTCCTCTTGCACTCAACAATATTTTTGTATCTCAGAACGATATCTACCAAACTGTGGCAATGTGCCTCGGAAAACATCAATCTTTTGGTTGGTTTAGCAGTCATTTTTAGGCAGAGATAAACCCTTCTATTTTTAGGTAATGGTAATATATCACGTAATTATGAGAAAACATGGATTTAAACAAAAGCACAGGCGACACAGAGAACTGTCAACACTGACAGTGTTGACAGCTCTTTTGCCGTTCTATGTTTTGTACGCCGTACAACATTTGTCTAGATGTCATTGTCATGTCATCAAATTAAGGTGACAGAACTGCCAACTGAAAAAATTAAAACTGAACCGTCGGTTGACAAACCGCTACCTGAAAGTAGGATCATAAAACACAATTGTCTTCAACCGACAGTTGAATTTCAACCTTCGGTTGGAAAACCGGCGGTTCAGTTTTACTTTTATGCAACCGGCCCTTAGATCGATCCGATAAATGCTATCGAAGTCGGCTTACCAACTCGGGATCTTTTTGTAGACGACTTTATCCCCCGCACGGTGCACTGTATGTGTGTTCCTTCTTGCTTTCCTCTATTTTCTTCACCGATGCGATGTCGTCATGAGAACTGGGTATTTATGGAATTCCTTGATTGCCTCTGAACAAACGAAAAACTATTATTAGTTCCATACATATTTTATGATTACAATACATTAGATAAACATTAAAAGGTCGCTGAACTGGACCTTGTTTCCTTTCCATCTTTGTAACCATAACCAACTGTAGACCTCGCTGTTTTGTGCTTATTAACCACTCGTCAGTGAGGAATAGGTCTTAGATCTAGTCTTGCTGACAGACGAACGGGGAGCAAACAAACTGGTATGGTCTTTTGAAAAACTCAAAATATTGTGCGCAAGTAGATGCGTCAGGCGGTTATGGGCTAGAGGACTTAAGGGTCATCCGTATGGGATGAAGATGAAAATCAGATTGACAAACCATCGGTAGGTGGAAGTCGTTAGATTCTCACCTACTTCCGTACAATATTTTGAGTTTTTTAAAGACCACACCCACTTGTTTGCTACCCATTTTGTCTGTTTCCAAGGTTAGTAGACCTAAGTCCTATACCGTACTGATGAGTTGCTAATGAGCGCAAACAGCGCTGTCTGCGGTTGACCATGGCTACAGAGACGGAAAGCAAATACCGTCAATTTCAGCCGTGTGTATTTTTGTGTATTTACGACTAGACCTATACTGTACAGGTGAGTTGCTAGAAAGCATCAAACAGTGCTGTCTGCGGTTGGTCATGATTACTGAGACGGAAACCCAGCATGCCCATTTTAATTTCTTGTTACGTTTTAGGACAGTGCATTTTCCTGTCATGAGTGTTCCAATGTAGTTTCGTTTACTATTAATAATGATATTATTACTGCATCCATTTTAGTTCCAACATAGGTATGTTTAATTCGTTTTAGCTCTCTAGACTTGTAATATACGTTGAAAATATACAGTAGCTTAAACTCGACTCATTTTGCTAAGAACATCGCCTTCATAAGACAAACCGCGCGTTGAGCGTGTCAGAAGGACCCGTCAGGCTTTTGCTTACCGTCCTAACTCTGTGAAATTTCAAACATCGAGAACAGGGAGCTACGACTGCTCTTCTGTTCCTAGGGTGTCGAGATTGTGGAACAGTTTTCCTGGGGAGGTTTCTTTGATTCTGATAATCGTAAGCAGTTTAAAAACGGGAGCAATGCGTCTGATATCAGGATACGTGGAACGACTCTGGAATACAAGCATACATTCCACAGCTTTTTTGTCATTCCCCTTCTCGCACATTCATCGACGTATAATTATTAGAATCCCATCGAAGGGATCGTTGTTTCTAATCAGTCCACAGCATCATCAATATCAATTTATTTATAGGATGTCCTGGGGCATGGTCGGACGGACGTGTACGGCGCATAAGGCGTCGAAAACACTCTCATTAAAATTCCGCGCATCATCAGGTGCACACCGCTTTGCCCCTCAGTACGACCAAGTACTACATACGATGTTGATGTGGTGTCCTTGAACCCCGTCGATATGCCCTGTGGAGCTGATCATTAGTTTACGTTAGCTGGCGGTTAAGACTGAGTTTAGATGACGCGAGTTCGATGCGCGTTCGCTTGACGCTCGAGTTGAAAATGCACAAAATCAAAAGTGTCTGCTGTCTGCTCTAGATGCAGAGTATCTCAATACGCGCTTCGGTCAGACCTATTTACTGATGCAATTGAAAAGGTTGCCCGTTACATACAAGGTGTTCATTTGAAAACTTCCCACCACATACGAGTATTTATCGAAAACCACTGAATAAAAGAAAAGACGCCGAGACACGTCAAAAGATTAGTCAAGGGGGCAACTTTTTTACCAAAAACTACTTTATACCCTTTCACCCTCTGCCCCCAGCATCATACGAGGGTGACGGGGGGTGAAGCAGGTTAAAAAGGTGTCCCCCTTGACAAATCTCTTGACATGTCTCGGCGTTTTTTCTTTTAATCAGTGGTTTTCGATAAATCCGTGGTGGGAAGTTTTCAAATAATTTGTCAGCTACTTTTTGTTGTTGACAAATCTTTGCTGTTGACTCTACTACTATGTATATATTCAGTCAACGTTAATATACGGCATAATATCCTGGGATAGTTTCACTAATAAAAGTCGAATGTTCACTATGCAAAATAGAGGGGTACGTTTACTTCAAGGTCTGAGCAGAAGGTGCATCTTCTTTAAAATATCTGTGAAATTAACATCGCCATCCATATATACTTTCGAGCTATCGTTACAGCTAAGGTCTAATTCAGATGATTTTCTGAAGGTGAACGCCCAAAAAACGTACGTAAAAAATTCGCTTGGCCTGGAAGCCCTCGTGCACGGATTGTCCTAAACAGAATACAACTCGAATCATTAGGTTATTAAAAAAACCATTAAATACCTTCACGGCTCTGCATCTCATTATTTTCAAACTTAAGCTTGAGGTACTATTAAAAATAGCATGATAAACGATTAATAAGTGTAATACTGACAATACTGTTTATGATAGTCATCACTGTGATGTGCTATGTCTCAATCTCAACTGTTAGATTCTTTATTCATGTTTACACTTCATGCTTTTCAAATTTCATATATTTTATTTATATATTTTAAACAGAACAATCATTTAATTTGTATTTACCACTTTATCTCAATGTTGGTTCTAGCTAAATGTTTGTCTCTTTTTAGGCTACATTTCAATGTTCCTCAGGGCATTCATTGTATTAGGACCATTATTATTCAATATACACTTGAATTATTAGAGAGATATCCAAACAGCGGAAAAAAATTGTGAGTTTTACTGACAATACAGGGTAGACAATTGGAGTCAACTAATAACAGTTTATGAAAATGATCTTAATTCTATCATAAATTGGTTTAAATGTCGCCTTCTAACGGTAAATTATAGTGAAATGGAAAATGCCATTTTGATCATATCTCAAAAATTTGCCTGACTATAAAAACTGAATCGTATCTATGAAAATACTGACAAAGCAATTTCAAGGAAAGACAGTGTAAAACATCTCGGTGTCCATCTACTCGTAGAGTCACATCTCCATTTGCATACACATATACGATACATTGTCAAAAAATTGAGATCTTTTCGTTATAAAATCAAAAACTATAATCAGCTCCTTACAGAAAAACAATTAATAACTCTATACTATGATTTAGCCAAAAGTCATATAAATTGTGGTATCGTAATTTGGGGAGCAGCCAACAAAACTTAC